AGATAATGCGAACTGGGTTTTTGTCTATTACCCAATCAAAGCTAAAGGACAGAAGTGTAACTTCACAGGAAAAAAAGCAGCCGTGCAGTATGCACGGGCTCTCGCTAGCGTATCAATAATGACGACATCTAAATATCGAATCATTATTGGCAATGAGTTTAGCAGGCAAAAGTATCTCTCACTACAACTGATTAGAATAGAATTCTTGGCTATTCCATATATGAAGAACTTGTCAAGCGGTTTGAATATCCATTTGTTTTCGTTCGGTAAAATCGAACAAAGTGAAAGATTTCATTGTAGAATTCGTACACGGTCTGCCAACAAAGAAAAAGTAGAATCACTTTCTAAATACTACTATGAATAAAGTATTGAGAAGAGGTCAACATTAAAACATACTGGTAGAAACGGCGAATACAGGCAGATAGTGGATATTATGAAGTGCTAATTTAATGAATAGATTAGAAAGTTTTATAGTGAGAGTAATATTGTATTCAAATTAGTGTAATAGCTTAATCATTTATAACTGAATCTTTTTGTTAGTATGTTTAGTATTCTTATAGTGATTTAACAAAGTTTAGTTAATCGTTCTTAAGTAACGAAATAAAACGATCACAGAAATATCTGAAAGTAGCTACTTTTTCTGAAAGTTTTCACGTGATTTATTAGGAATCGAGCTTAGGTTTCGTAAACTTTCTGTTACCTTTGCAATCCTACTTTATGAATCGCATCTTGAGGTAATAATACCTTGAATTCTCAGCCATTCTGTTATTCATTGTTCATATAGCGCTTGGTTGCCACAAAAGATGTAAATGGTATGTAATTGTGACATCGCATTAATGTCTGGTGCGAGATGTTGACCTAAAGTTCCCGAAGAGATTATTATTAAGAACTTCAATACACTGCACAATTGTGCGAGCGTATTTTGGTAATCGTTATATACTTCATCAATATTACCATCGACCAAGATGAGCATATCATTTTGAACCATGCACTGTCTTGATTGAATGGTATTCGATGATGCTGTTGAAGTTGCAACGGCACCCATCGTCTATCTGAACCTCTTTTGTTTGGATTGTTTTCCACTCATATCGACTATGAATTGTCGCTCTATTCTCTATCTAGCATGATGAATAATTGTTTGTTGACAAGACAGAGCTCATTTTATCTATTTATACAGTCGATATCCCCTGTTTTTTCTAGATTTTTCTGCTACGTCATATATAGATTTTTTTGTTGATACTCAATGATAAACTCTAGCTGGTTTAAATTGAAAATATGACTGTGAAAAACAAGCAAGGTTGTAAAAATTCTCAACATCGTTCATTGTATTAATGGTTTTTCCAACTTATCGGAGCAAATGACATTTCATTTTAAACTCTCCAATCGAGCTTTTTCGCAAGCTCTGGATTTTCAAAAAGATCCACATCTCTGGGTTTAGGTAGGTGGAAGTGTGGGTGCAGATACCTGCTTCATTCAGACCCACACCCACACCCACACCCTTCTTTTTCAGCAACACCAACACATTCTCGAACAGCGTAGGTCTGACAAGGAACACAGAAATCTTTTGGCATTCACTTTAACAGCTGTTCCCACTCTCTGTACACGAGGATTAATTGGAACAAATCATATTTTATTTTAGACTCTTCTAATCGAGCTTTGCTCGCAAGCTCTGGAATTTAAAAGGATCCACATTTCTGGGTGTGAGTGGGTGTAGGTGTGGGTAACAGGGATGATGTTGATCATCATCTCATACTCACACCCAGATTCATCCACAACTGGATGAATGGGGTAGAATATACCAGGTGGGCCAAAAGTAACATAACAACTGAAGAAAGATTGAATATCTCCATTACGACTCGACAAAACGGGGTTATATTTTTATCAAGAATAGAAGCATGTTCACGCTCCAAATCCATACGGACAAGGCTAGTGAGAATCTTTGTTAAGTATAACTATTGACCCAATAAGAAAAATTTTTCTTTTTCACAAGTAGGAAAAAAATAATGTTCAAGATAGTGCAAAAGTCATATTATCGAAAAGAAAATTGATTATCTCCATTACCGCTCGACCAAACGAGCTGATTTTTTTTACCACAGATAGAGGTATGTTCACACTCCAAATCCATACGGACAAGGTTAGTGAGAACCTTTATTAAGTATATGTTTTTCTTTTCCTATCTGTGAAAAAGTAAAATTTTCTTGTTGAGGTTAATAGTTATACTTAACAAAGATTCTCACTAATCTTGTCCGTATGGATTTGAAGTGTAAACATGCTTCTATCCTTGATAAAAATATGACTCCGTTTTGTCGAGCCGCAATGGAAATATTCAATCTTTTTTCAGTTGTTATGTTACTTTTGGCCCACTTGGTACAAAACATCTGTACTGAGAGTGAAATTAATGCTACTCATCCAGCTTGTCAATATTGATCGGAATAAAAAATACACAGCAGTGAAAACAAAATAGAGCATCATCCACCACCATTTTTCATGGCAGGCGATATTTTTAGGATAGCCGCAGAAGAGAAAGATACTGGATTTTATTTCTATGGTGAAATTTATTAATCGATGATTCATTGGGATTCATTGAGTATGACGGTATTTGAGCACCTCCATGAGCTAGGGTCGTTGAGACATTTTTTGTGGATTTTGTCAGCCATAGGAATAAATGCTGAAAAGAAATAGATAAATGAATGCATCCAAAGGTTTTAATTAGAATATTTCGCAAAACAAAGTGAAAGTGTTTTGGTAAGGAAATCTACTGATATGTTTTGTGTCTTTACAGTTTGGAGTTTATTTGGGTAGAATTTTATTGAATTGACTAAGAACTTTTATTGTTTTAGATCTTTTCTTAATTTATCAGTTTTGGAAAGTTCATAAAGGCTAACCAATGGCTGAATCCTCAAATGAATCAGAAATGCATGCATCGTTTGTCGATGATACGATAAAATCATTGGCAGATGAAATTGCAGAACTTTTAGATCTCGATGATGGTGAAAGTAAAGGTCAAATTCTTAATGATTTGTTCGAAAATGGTCGGCAATCATTGATCAACTATAAAGAGGATATTGTGTGCGAACGATATAAAGATGTGATGAATGGCAGTGAGAACAAGTTGATGTTATTGTTGAAAAAGTATTATCAACAAAAATGGGAAGCGCAGTATGGCAAATCCAATCCATGGTTTATTTCATTTATTGAACAATATCAGAATGGAGAAAACCATGATATCTATGAACGTGTTTTAACTTATACAGCTGAATACGGAGACAAACATACGAAAAATTGTGGAGTATTATCGATTGTTTTGCAATTTTTATTTGACACTATCGATGATGATTGGTGGACAAAAACAAAACTCTTCGACGATCAATACTTAAAAGAACAGCCTATGTTCGATTCTCAATATTTGAGAGACACTGAAAATTCTGATGATCAATTTTTAGAAGAAATAAGCATTTGTGATGGTCTATGGTATGCAATCACAAATGATGGCTTAAAATCAATTATAAAATATTCTGATTATATTGTTTCATACGTAATGGATGAGCAGTTGAATAAAAGTCAATCAGTATTATTTCAGGCATTACGTGAATATTATCGACTGCAGCTACTTTCGTTGTTGAAAGAAAATGGAATTTCAGATAAACAACAAATGCATGACTTAGCGTTAGATAATGTTGCTGAACATGGTTGGTTAATCGGCATACAAGCAATCCAGCAACAAGTAGCACCAAAGTATTACAGACGATTATTGCAAGATTTAAATTCCCTCCTACAAAAACGAAAAGCACAAGTCAATCAAGCACTAGAGCAACAAGAAGGAAATCAAGAACGTAACGCACAAGGGGAAAACAAAAATTCGGAGAAGCAATGGCAAAAGAAAGCATTAGAGCAACCAGAACAAAACACAGGACAAGAAGCTCAAGCGGAAAACAAAAAGCCCGAGAAAAAGTTGAAATACAAAAATGCCAAGAAAAAAGGGGAAAGAAAAACACAAAAAGCACAGGACCAGAGCGAAGATCTTAACGGACAAGACAAAAGCAAAAAACTAGAGAAAGAAGGGGAAAATAAAGAATCAAACAGAGAAGAAGAAGACAAGGAACAAAAGCAATAAGCGACATCCAATTCACAAGTTATTAATACCTGTTCGGAAAAAAAGCACACTGAAGCAAATTTAATAGAAGCAGCTGCAACACGTAACCAAGAGCCAGGTAATCAAAGTCTTGAGTAATCTTTTTTCCTCTTAAACCTATCTGCCCGAATTCTCAATTTCAGAGTTGAAAAAATAATTTTGTTAGGAAATGAGGATAACAAAATCTCCAGTTTTACTAGTGAATATCTACTTCGGATTCTCCTACTTATCCTTCAGGGTGACGGTGTCGGTGTTCACTCTAATTTCTTCTGCGCCATATCCCACATGTACAGCTTGGAAGCTGAGCAAATACTAATACCTTTCATTTTTCTACAGATGAAGAAGGAAAGCCTAATAAAACCAATGACTTCGATAATTCATCGAAAACTACTAGTGAAGACGAACAAGATGATATTGTTCCAAGTACACCATCGAAAAAAAATAAAATATTTATCGCTGGTCTACTAACGACTATGGCCGAAAAACATCTGCTAAGTGCACTTTCACGTATGTTTTCGTCTATCGGTCAAATTAAAGTAATTAAAAGGGAAGTACTATGAAACAAATCTTCTGTGCCACTATTTCATTTTTAGATTAGCAGCAAAACAAAAAAACAATGCATAGATTTACATAGGCAAAAAGATAATAAATTTAAACTTTCTGGCATAGCATTGATCACGTTTGAAGAAGAAGAATCAATGATCAAAGCAATTCAAAAATATAATCGTGAGCTAGAGCAAATTTTCATCAAAAAAGGGAGAATATAATTGTCTTTTACGTTTCAGAACAATGCGTACCGGTATTCAATGATGCACGAATTTATGTCCAAAACTTTAAAGCGAAACGTGATAGACCAACACAGCTTGCCACTCTCATACCACCTAAGCCATTGTCACCAGTAAGAGCAGGTAATGAGTATTCACGGAAAGAAAAAGATTTATATTCGCAGTGCTTGCAGTTAACTTCAAAGCAGAAATCTGAGATCGAACTATCGTTTTTGACATTAATTAATATGATGAACATCGCAGCTGTGTAGTAGATTCGAAAAAGAAAACAAAATCGCTTCAATCTTAAATTGAAAACTTCCCTCTACAATTATTTCTTGAATAGATGGACAAGTTGTGCTGTTTTGATTTTATGGGGAAACACAAGTAGAGTAAACCCTAGGCGTGGAGCTTCTTAAGACCTGATGAGAGTGAAGAATAACACTGACTTTAATAGATTTTCAAGGTAAGACACATCACTCTCTAGAGTCTCATGAAATAAAAGTCATGCTTATACATAGAAATGCAGCAGGCTTGATTTACTTTATGAGACACGATATCTTCTAGGTTGTCAGATCTATTGAAGACGAGAGAAATGATGCCCTGTTTCATGATAAATTCTCTCTATAGGTCATGAAGTTTCAGTTTTTTATTCCCCACTGTTTCTTTTCAAAAAGGTTTTTTTTTTTTGGTGGATCATAAAAGATTATCTTACTATCGGTTACATTTATGAGTATTCTAAAAAGTATGTTCAAGTACAACTCTAAGAGCTTCTGATTGATATCTTCGGCGGGTTGTTCAGTCGATCTCTATAAATACAAGACTTACTTTAGTTATGTTCTCTTTTGTATTAGGCTCTGGTCAACCCTATGGAAAAGTAAACATATTTTGGGATATCGAAAATGTGTCCATTCCTGCTGGACACAATGCCTTTGAAATAGCCTTAAAGGTACAACAAATGTTGATTACCAAACGGAATCGATCGAAGGGTAGTTTTATGGCTTACTGCAATACTAGCACCATATCTGAGACGCATCAGAAACGCCTTTCAATAGCCGGTGTACAAATTCAGCACGTTCCAAATTGTAAGATTGGAGCTGTCGACCAACATATTCTCATGGCGCTGAAAGAATTCGGTACACAACAGAAAGAATACTGTACAATGGTTCTAATAAGCGGAGATGCTGATTTTACCTTACTCTTAAACAAGCTTCGCTTTGACTATAAGCATTATGTGATCATCATCCATAATCGACAAGCAAAGCCCGAGCTCTTACAGACAGCTAATGAAGCTCATACTTGGGAGAAATTCACTGAGAACTGTTGTGAAAAGACCAAAATGGAGCCTGAGGAAAAACCAAAGGTTTCGAAGGTGTATAACGCAAATGGAGGAAACAAAGTCACAAGAACTTCTAATCTCCATAATCGCACTGAATCACCAAAATATCGGCCCTTGATGGACTTGAAGCTTCCGCCCTCAGTCGGTGGTAAAGCATCAGAATTGGTTTTATGCAGTCCGCATGATTCAAGTGATACTCATCGGCCCACCCTACAAAATCCAATAAACTCTTCCCAGAAACCCAAAGTCGCAAAGAGTCAAACCTCTAAAAAGAGGAATCGACCAAAAAAAGAGGTATGTATTGAAAACACATTAACAGGAAATTGTTGAATGTATGCTATCATTAAATAAGAGACTTGGCCAAGTTCCCTGAATTCGGGAACTCAAAAATCAATTAACATGAACGAGCGCTAAGAAACTAAAACACGTCAACGAAATTAGGGAACTCAAGGATGTCAGGAAATTCAAGGATATCAGAGAATTCAAGGATAT